TACAGTGGTATATCTCGCGAGCATGTTGTGCAATTTGTTAATCCACAGCACTTTGGGACATGCCAGAAAATGTTTACCAGAAAAATACTAGACCCATCTCACCCACTGTACTCTCACCGTAGTAAATGTATCTGAACATCTAGCACTCGCTCCAAGTATAAGCACATAGCAGCACGCAACACAACATCAAAGTCTTCTGTAATACCGTACTTGGCACAGTTTATTATTAACGCTGATCATGTCACTGAGCCCCTTAAACAAAATCTTTGCTACATTTCCCTTATTTGTTTGTACATCCAGCGTATCATCATCTTTTTTTACCGTGCCAATTCCATAGAAGAGTGACTGCGTAGTAGCTGAATGTTCATCCCCTATGGGGCGTTTAAAGCAGCATCTTTACTTGAATTAACTTGACTTGCTTTATGAGGTTATTTGGGATGGACAGTGCTTTTAGACGTGACACATAAAACATGAGCGTCCTGAACTTCAGAAAAACGTCATTAGCGTGGTGAGACCAGGGGAGGTTACGGTTGAAAATAAGGCCAAGGTATTGGACAAACGGTTGTCGTTCCACCTGTTCACTGAGCATGGATAAAGGCGGGCTGACAATTGATAATTCATCATACTTTTGTCCCTTCGAAAAGGAAAAATGTTATAACATTTACGGGTTCATACGGAGGTTCCTTTGTTGAGACCACTCAACTATTTCTGACATTTCTTCTTGTAGAGTGGTTTAAAATGATGGGTTGGGGTAGGGCAGTCCGAATATTATGTCGTCTGCATGCTTAACAAGAAGAGAAGAATTGTTCACAAGCATAGAGGAAATGTAAGCGGGACATAGAAAAGGGGATAAAATAGCGCCTCGCAATAGGCCTTGTGAGGAGGGCAGCAGTGAAGATGTACGACCATTGTATTGTGTGAACTTCTGACAGTTGGATAAATAGTTGGCCAAGAGTTCCATCGTAGGAGCTTGAACGTCTCCCGACGAGAGGGTATTTAGTAATATTTGTCTGTCTATCCTGGTGAAGGCATCACTGAAGTTTAGGAATAGTATGCGTGCAGCCTTGCTTTCTTCCAGGTAGGAGAACATTAAGTGGGAGAGATCAGCAAGGCATGGAAGGTACCGCGGGAATGGGTGTGTGAAAATTGGTTTGGGTCACCATCATTGAACTGTGTGGATAGGGTTTTAACCAGGTGTCCCTCGAAAACCTTCAAAATAAATGAGATGCAGGCAATGGGACGGAATTTTGAAGATCCTTTCTTCGATACTGGGGTGACTGAGGCAGTTCGGTATAAGTTGCTGCGAAATACAATT